CAAATCACCTGCTGGTGGCCGCATTTGAAGATGGCAGAGTTCAAGATGCTCAGCAGTTCTGCTATATAGCACCTGTTACTATTATGTGTGTTACAGGGCCCCGTTGTGCCGGGCGCTGCACAGACACTGAGGGAGAAACAGTCCCTGCCCCAGCTGAGATCAGGGCCCTGTTGTGCCGGGCACTGCACAGACACACAGGGAGAGACAGTCCCTGCCCCAGCTGAGATCAGGGCCCCGTTGTGCCAGGCACTGCACAGACACAAACAGAGTCAGTTCCTTCCCACAAGAGTTTACAAACTAAATAGACAAGCAAGGATCATTATACCTGTTTTACAGACGGGAAAACGGAGGCCCAGAGAGATGCAGTGACTTGGCCATGGTCACACAGGAAGGCGGTGGCAGAGCTGGGAATGAACCCAACACTCTTAAATCCCAGCCCAAAGCCCTAGCCACCAATTCACCCCCTTTCTCTAATCGGTGAGCTCTATTTGCAGTTCTGTGCAAGCCGGCTGAGCCGGGCAGCCTTGGTAATCGAACCTGCTTCTCCTTAAACAAAACCAAACCACAACCTCGGAAATGACACGAAAACAAAAAACTTCGTGAATCCAGCACTAAAGCTGCGCCATGATGCGCTCACAAGCCAGGCCGGGGCAGAGCCGCGGTTTTGCTTTATTCTATTCAAGGCTTTATGGAACCTCCATGGCCCGGGTGCTCGAGCGCCCGGTTGAAGCCAGCCCTTAACTCCACCCCTTTGTGCCCATGAATGAAGCTACAAGTCTTGAATGAACTGAGCTGGTCGAAACATTTTCATTGGAAAAGGGGTTCTGTCAAAGTTGACATTTTCCCCATTGGATTTCAATGGAATTTTTCCAAAATGTCCTACGAGGTAGAGCTGGATTCTGATCTGTTACCCCCGAGGTGACACAAAAGCAAATATTATTACTAATTAATCCTTGCAGTATTCACCCAACATAAGCACAGCCAAACCGGGGCACTGCAATGGTCCATCTAGCCCATATCTATCTCGGACGGTGGCCAGTACCAGAGCTGCAGGGGGACAAGACAAAACTCCTACTGATTTCAAAGGTGCTTTGTGAGAACTGTGGGACTCCGGTCACTAGGGCCAGGGCCGGCTTCAGGCCGATTCAGCCGATTCTGCTGAATTGGGCCCTGCGCTAAGAGGGCCCCGCGCCACAGCTCTCCACCCCACCCCCAGCTCACTTCCCCGTCCTCCCCTCCCCTGAACCCTCCGCCCGAATCAGAGGTTCGCAGGAAGTCTGAAAAGAAGCAGGGGCGGGCAGGCAGCACCTGATAAGCGGAGTCAGGGGTGTGGGACGGGGACGTGAGAAGCGCTCCAGGGAGGCGCGGCCCAGTCCGGCCCCGGCCGAGCACCTCCGGCCCCAGCAACTTCGGCCCCTGCGGCTCAGCTCGGGCCCCGCGGCTTGGCTCGGCTTGGGTCCGGTCCGGCTCGGTCCCGGCCCCCCGGCTCAGCTCCAGCCCGGCCCCGGCTGAGCGGCTCCGGGACAGACCCAAGCCCCACGACCCCGGCTGGAACTCCGGCCGGAGCGCAGCCCGATTCCTGGGGGCGGGGCTTGCGGCAAGCCACGCCCCCAGGAATCGGGCCCCGCTCTTGCTAAAGCCGGCCCTGACTAGGGCAGAGCTGTGCTTTGCATCCCAGGAGCACAGAGGTCCATGAGAAGCAAAGAGTAACTTAGAGCAGCCTAGGAGCTGCTCTTCCTCATGCTGACCAGCACCGTGCACAGCCCCATCGTATGGGGCAACTTCCCATAACCGAAGGCAGACAGTTCCTTACTGAGGGACATCAGGGTCTCGTAGCTCTCCTGCATGACATCTCTGTACAGGGCCCTCTGCCGAGGATCTAGGAAGAGCCACTTCTCCATCGGGAACACGCAGCCGGCTCCTTTAAAGCACCTGAAAGAACAAGAGAGCCCCGCTCAGCACCTGCTGTTCCTGGGGCGATCCCAGCCTTCCCCAAAACCCCCTACGCCGTTCCCAGGAGTGCTGATTACAGGCCTCTTGTGTCCCAGGTTAGACTCCCCCTCCTGAACGGAACTGGGTGCTTTGGGGAGCTGCTCCCCCGTGCCACAGATGGGGAAATTTCCGCCTCCTCCAGTTTTTGTCTCTTCCTGATAATAAGGTCTCAGATGAGCCGAGTCCCGAAAAGTTTGTACCCAAAAGAGTGGGAGGAGCGGGGTGACTGGAGAGCAGAACTGGCTTAAGTCCATGTCACATCCCGATCTCTTCCCTGCCCCCCCCCCATCCCCCCGCTCTCTCCCTGTGGACAGATGGACTGGGCCAGGCTGGGAAAACGCTGGGTCGCTTTATCCCAGCGCAGACCCAGCCCCTCCCAGCAGCACTAAACCCACCCAGTGACAGAGTCTCGGAACCAAATGCTAGCAAAGAGCAGAGTCAATGGGGCCGCTTTGGGGGACACCCCCCCACCACACACACTGTCCCCCAGGACTCAGGCGAGACAGGACCTGGCTTTTCCTCTCCTGGCTCCGCACCTGGGTGGGTCCCAGGAAAGTCAGCTCTGCCCAGGGATGGATTTGGCCAAGGCTGGGAGCCCGGAACCTCCTTCCCCACTTATTGCTCCTGTTGCCCCTCCCACTCTCCCCCACCCCTTTTCTGTCTCCTTCCCCCTCTGCCTGGGAGACTGTCCTGTTCCCGGGGGGGTTCGCTCTCCAAACGCTGGATCAGCTGCTGAGAGCGGGGGGGAGGCTTCAGGGACGGCAGCAGCTCTGGGACTCGCAGACCCCCGCCCCTCCGGGAGCAGAGCTGGGGCGAGCAGGGGCCCTCGGTGCAGAGTCACTTTCCTGCCCGGCCCCGGCCCTTTCCCCCGGGTCCCCCCCATCACCTGCAGGCTCCGGCTCGGGGGCTGGCGCGGGCAGAGCCCGGGGCTGGTTGCAGCCGCCGCAGACGGTCCCCACCCGGGCTGGGCTCAGCGGGGGCCTGGCTCTGCGCTACGGAAGCAGCAGCCGCTAACCTGGGAAGTTCAGCCCCCTGATCTGCTGATCACAGGAAACACACGGCCAGGGGAGGGGGAGAGCGCTGCCGCCTCCCGTCCCTGAGCCATACCCAGAGCCCTCTAGCGGGGACAGCGCCGAGCACCCCCTTCCCAAGCTCCCATCGGTGCTGGACTAGGGGGCGGCTGCCGCCTCCCCCCCGCTTGAAGCGGTTCCCAGCATCTGCAGGGTTTGCAGTTTGGTTCAATGGCTCTCAGCCCCCCCCCCCCCCGTGCAAACTGTTCCTGCTCCCCCGTAGGACTGAAAGTCTCTATCCAGGGAAAATAGGGCCCGGCTGGGGCCAACCCTCGGCCCAGCAACCCCATGGGGAGGAGAGACCCCCCCCCCGCACCCCATGCTCTGTCACAAGTTGCTACCCTGCCTCCAGCTGCTTGACCCCCCCACTGCCACCCCCGGCCAGTCAACTTCCGCCCCCTGGCCACTCGCCTCCTCCACTTTGCCCCCTTTTAGCCCCTGTAAAAAGCGGTCCGAAGAATCTGATGCCAAGTAAGGGCAGGGTGAGGGCAGCGGCTTCAGCAGATGTTACTGAGCACGCGCAGTTCGTGTGCGCATGCTCAGTACACACCCTAAGTAGCAAATGATGCCAGCTAGCAATTTGGAACACTACATCCCGAGTAGCTAATTCTCTTTTCGACCGAGCGCCGGCCAGGCTGGGGCTTAGGTCGGTTTAACGACGTCGCTCAGGGGAGTGGATTTTTCACACCCCTAAGTTATATCGACCAATTTCCTAGCGTAGACCAGCCCTGTGTCTACACTCCACATTAACCCCGGGCTCTGACCCAGGGTTAAGTCCAAGCCCCCTTTTCTGTCCACACACAAATTAGTCTGACTCGGCTTAGCAAGCACTCTGGACCCAGGTCCTAGGACCTCGCTGTGGGGGTGGGTGAGAGCTGAAGTACCACTGTGACGCGGGTCCAAGCTCTGTCATTTTGCAGTGTGGACGCGGCTCAAGCCGCAAATCTGAGTCAGAAGGCCTGCGTGTTGCCATTAGCAGGGCAGGGAGACCCGGGTCTGGCAATTGTAAGGCCAGGTTTACAATGCAGTGCGGACGCTCCAAGCCCGGGTGCCACCACTCCACAAGCAAGTCCACAAACACCAAGTCCACAAGCCCAGGCTTAATGCGCCGTGTAGACGTAACCCGGCCTACCGCTGTCAACACCGGGGGCTAGGTCAGGAGAACTGCGTTGCTCAGGGAGGTGGATTTTTCACACCCTTGAGCAAAGAATCTGGGTCGACCAGGCCTAAAGTTAATGAGCGGCAAAGGGTTACACTGAGACTGAGCATGTGCAGACAGAGGAGCCTACAGGATGTAAGAGTTTTAACTGCAGCTGCAAGAGGGTTTCAAGTGTAGACAAGCCCTAGGTGTCCCCAAAATCCATGTGCCTACCCAGATTGTCCTGCAATTTGCTGTGCCTTCTGGGGGCCCCTGGAGAGGGTTGGTGACTCAAATTTCAGGTCATTTGAGCATGAGATTACTGAGATACTGCCCCCCTCAACCAAAACAAATCCACTTTTCTTCAAGGTCACAGATTCTACCAACACACCTGTGCATACCTGGCTTCTGAACTGCTACTGGCTTAATGGGACAGGAAGTGGAGGGTGAGCTGGAAATGGAGGCAGAGGGGGCTATATGTTGTGGGGGGAAAGGGGAGGAGAAAGACGCAGCACAGCACTCTTCATTCACATGCTTAGTGATCAGTGACAGGAGCGGCGGAAGTGCCCTAAAAATGGGGGGCCACATGCATCCGAACCAAGGCCCCATGCACTGCACCGTTCCCCGCTGAGGCCCCACCCCCGCACTGCCTCTTCTCCCTGGTCCCCAACCCTCACATGGCCCATTCCTCTCCCAGGCCCCCTGCCTTTGCACCACCTCTTCTGCCAGACCATGCTCCTGCACTGCCTCTTCCCCTGAGGCGCCCCCACGTCACTCGCCCTTATGGACAGTAAAAAGTGGGAGGGCCATGGCCTCCTACCCCCCTCCCCCCCATTCCAGTGCCCTGGTTAGTGATCCGAATGTGGGGTCATTTGAGCAAGAGATTGAGGTAGGCTTGGAAGGATTAGAGGTTCATCTGTAAATATCAGTGAATGTCGATTTCACGGCCCATGCACAAACTAGGGTGACCAGATGTCCCGATTTTATAGGGACAGTCCCGATTTTGGGGTCTTTTTCTTATATAGGCTCCTCTTACCCCCCACCCCCGTGCTGATTTTTCACATTTGCTGTCTGGTCACCCTAGCACAAACCCATGAACCAACCTTCCCATGGATAACAACCGAAACGTACCGCAAGGCAAAGTAAGAAACATGCCGCTTGGCAGGTTAGTCGAGTTTGATTTAGGGCCATTTATTTGGCATATTACAATGTGGGATGGTGACGGCTGGTCCTAAAACTTGAACTTTTTGAATCTTGGTGTCATTCCACAATGAAAACCTGCCCCCTCTCCATTGTCTGATCCTCTGCAACCGTGAAAATTTAAAGAGAGAAAAGTGCTTAAAAATAAACACGGGGAATTATCCGTTGAAATTGTAAACCAATAAAAACCCAGTTCTGCCAAGCCTGGATTAAGAAGTGTGGTGCACTCCCGTGCTGAATAATTACACAGCACCCAGATCTGTCTATTGGTCCACTGATCCCCTAGACGAGTCTAGCCCCGCATGCAGGCCCGGCTCCAGGCACCAGCTTACCAAGAGAGAGGTGGCACGTCCAGCTGTTCGGTGGCAATTCGGTGGACGGTCCCTCACTCCTGCTCGGAGCGAAGGACCTTCCGCCAAATTGCCGCCGCAGATCACGATCACGGCTTTTTTTGGTTTTTTTTGTTTGGTGATGGGGGCGGCCAAAACCCTGGAGCCGGCCCTGCCCGCATGTCCCCAGCCATCCATTGCCACTCATATATACCTGAGCTAATTATAACGCTGCCTGATCATTACCTATCTCCCTGTGCTCCCGCTGTCCCTCTCATGTAGGCCAGCGGGTCTCAAACTTCATTGCACCGTGACCCCCCTGCTGACAACAAAAATTACTACATGAACTCAGGAGGGGGGATCAAAGCCCGAGCCCATCCCAGCCCCGCTGCGCCGGCTGGCGGGAGTGGGGGGGGGGGGCAAAGCTGAAGTCTGCCTTGGGCGATGGGGCTCAGGCTTTGGCTTCGGCCCTAGGCCCCAACGAGTCTAACACCAGCCTTGGCGACCTCATTTAAAGGGTCTTTTAATGTTTGAGAGCCCCTGATCTAGGCCAATGTGACGCTCTGCGTAGCTCCCCAGCCCGGAAGCAGGGATCTGGGTAAGCTGGGAAGCCTGGCTCTCTCCCCAACAGCAGGTGGTCCAGCCAAAACTCTCACCTCCCCCACCTGGGCTACCATCCAGCCATGGCATCTCTAGGGCCCACCCAAGGGGGAGGTCCCTGGGGGTGCTTTCCAGACAGACAGAGCCGCTGGGTTTGCCCCTGTTGGCGGCGATCTTGGGGCGAGGTTTCCGAGGCTGTCCCCACTAGAGGGCTCTGGTGTATGGCTCAGGGCTGGGAGCTTCTCTCGGTCTCTCTCTCTCCCCGGGTTTCCTGTGAGCAGCGGCGGAACTTCCCGGGCTAGAAGGGAGCTGCGGAAGCCGGAGAAACCCCTCCGCAAAGCCCGGGTGGGGAGTCTCCCTGCAGGGGATTGAGACGGGAGAGACACTGGAAGGGGCAGCGGGAGCAAGCAGTGGGGAGGGAGGTTCCCAGCTCCCAGCCCTGCCCGGATCCCAGCGTCCCTGGGCAGACTGACTCTCCTGGGCCCAAGGTAAGGAGCAGAGAGAGAAGAAGCCAGGGGAGTCTGGGGGGCAGGGGACAGTGTCAGGGGGCTTCCCCCATAGGCGCTGGAAATAGGGGTGCTGCTGCCGCACCCCCTGACTTGAAGGGGTTCCCATCATCTGCAGGGTTTGCTGTTTGCTTCAATGACTTTCAGCTCCCCCCCTTCCCCCCCACACACACTGTACAAATTGGTCCCGCACCCCTGTAGGGCTGAAAGTCGCTATCCAGGGAAAATAGGGCCCAGCTGGGGCCAGCCCTTGGCCCAGCAACCCCATGTGGAGGAGAGACACCCCCTGCCCCCCCATACTCGGGGGCACAAGGCTGCAGGCCACATGAGCGGCAGGTAGGGGCCACCTAGTTGCCAGCCTCTTGGGGAGGTGGAATTATTATGCGGACATAGGATTGCCACCTTTGAAATGCCCCCC